TCCCAGCCCCCGCCGTGGGCTCGTCTTCCGCCGGGTTGGCCCGGCACCTCCGTCGGTGGTGGCCGTGGTGGCGGCCCGTGCAGCTTGGTGTCTACTGGCAGCCCCATTGGTGTGACGTGCCAATACCAGCTTAAGACCGGGCCTCTCCGCGGCACTCTGTGCCGCAGCCCGCACCCGACCGCCCGCTGTTTCCACCGCCTCGACGATCTCTTTCGTCGTCGCTTTGGCCCGGCCCCGGACCTCCCCGACTGGCACAGCCTGCTTCGCCAGGGTGTGCCGATCTTTGAGTTAGATATGGATCAGATAGGTGCTGCTTTGCATGCCTTGTTTGCTGACGCTTCTAGTGTTGCTGGATCTTATTACCCTGTGTACTCTAGTTTAGGTGTAGCACCCTTGTGTAGCTTAGCCTCCCCTGCTGCGACAGGCGTAGGACTGCCTAGTTTGACTAGCCTCGTTCCAGCATCGGCCCCGTTCCCGGCCTCTGCTACTGCCTCGCTGTCCTTCACTCTCGACTCCGGTGCTTCTGCCTGTTTCTTCCGCGACCGCTCCACGCTCACGCCGCATGCCGCGCCTGCTGTTGTCGCTCTCGTTGACCCCTCTACGGGTCTTGTCGTCGCTCGCAGCTCCACTTCCCTTCCCTGTCCAGCCGTTCCCTTGGGCTCCCTTATAGGCCTCCACGTTCCCTCGTTCTCCGGGAACCTAGTTGGTGTCGGCTGTCTTCAGGACCTCGGCATCACCACTACGTTCCCTGGGCACGAGCGGTTCGCTGTCTGTACCGAGGCTGTCTCAGGTACCCCTCTTGCGACGTTCCCCCGCGACCCGGTGTCCGATGTGTTTACCCTCGACACCGCTTCCCCCCCGGTGGAATTTGCATTTGAAAAGTCAACTGTGACAGAATTCGCTGCAGCTCCGAGGTCACTCCCAGGTCGCTGCAGCTTGCTCGTGTCGGTCCCTCACTCATCCGTCCCTTCTGTGGCACCACCGCTTAGGTCACCCTGCTCTCCCGCATCTGCGTCACATGTCCCAGCACGGTCTTGTCTTAGGCCTCCCCGCGTCGCTCCCCGCCCTTCCCCCCTCGACTGCTCCACCGTGCACGCCTTGCGTCGAGGGCCGGCTCCGTCGTGCCCCTCACTCCTCCTCGCTTCGCCCTCCTACTGCTCCCCTTCAGACCCTGCACCTGGACGTTTGGGGCCCGGCCCCCGTCCCCGGACCGCGCGGCGAGCGCTACTTTCTTGTGCTCGTCGACGACTACATGCGCTACACCACGGTGTTTCCCCTTGAGCGGAAGGCCGACGTGCCTGACAATGTTCTACCGTGGGTTGTGGATGCGCGTCTTTACTGCGGTCTCCCCGTGTTGTGTCTCCACTCTGACCGTGGCGGCGAGTTCGCCTCTGGTCCGCTTGGCCAGTTCTGTCGTGCGGAGGGCATCACCCAGTCGTACACCTTGCCGGACTCGCCATAGCAGAATGGGGTTGCTGAGCGCCGCATCGGCTTGGTCATGGAGGTGGCTCGTACCTCCATGATTCATGTCGATGCCCCCCATTTTCAGTGGCCGTTCGCTGTTCGCTACACTGCTCACCAGCTTAACTTGTGGCCACGCTCCCAGCGGCCGCAGGTTTCGCGGACCCTCCTTTGGACCGGGTCCCCCGGTGACTCGTCTGCGTTACACGTCTGGGGTTGCCTTGCTCACGTTCGTGCCTCTGGCATGGACAAGCTCACTGCCCACACTCTCCCCTGTGTCTTCCTCGATTTCCCCCTGGACTCGTCTGACTGGCTCTTCTACCACCCGCCGTCTCACCGCTTCCTTCACGCTCGTGACGTCACCTTTCACGAGTCCGTCTCCTTCTACCATCGCTTCCCTTACTGAGGTGTCCCGGTTTCCCCCCCCCTATTCCTTCCTCCCTCTCCCCCGGTAGCCCCTCCTCCCCTCCCGCCCCGTCCTGCCTCGTCTGATGTCTCTCAGGTCACTCCCCTTCCGTCGGTTGTCCCCGTTGAGGAGTCTGCTGACTCTGGTGGTCCCCCTGGCCCGTCCTTGCCGCGTCCCCCTTCCCCGGTGTCTTCGCCCTTGCTGTCGCAGTCGCCGCCTCCGCCGCCGTCGCTGCCGCCCCCGCCGCCGCCGCCGCCGCTGCCGCTCTTGGCCCTTGGGGGTGCTGGTGTTGAGGAGGGTGTTCGTCAGGCGGCTCCTGGGGGTGCCGCTGGTGCTTGAGGTGGTTCTCACTCTGGGGGTGTTGGTTCTGGGGGTGCTGCCGGTGAGTGTTCTCCCAGCGGTCGTCTTGCCCCTGCCTGTCCGAGGGTCGAGCACCAGCAGCCGCAGCAGCCGCTGCAGCCGTCGCCGCCGGTCTCCGCTCTTCGCCTGCTCGGCCTTCCCTCCCCTGATCGCTCGCCGGTGTCTCCCCCGCCACCTCCTCCCCTTCTTGTGTTCGGCCCTGTTTTCCCGCCGCCGGACTCGTCTTCGGCGCGTCTTCTTCCTCGTTCCCCTCTTGTGTTCCCTCCGCTGTCTCCAGACACTACACCTCCGTCCCACGTTTGGTCTCGCCGTCCCTCACGTGCTCGTCCCGTCTCTCCAGTCCTGCGCTCCCACCCTATGTTGCTTCGTTCCCACTCGTCTCGTCCTCCCGTTGCCTCCTCCCTCGTCGCTTGTTGTTGCACCTCCCCCCCTATCTGACTACCTCTGTGCCGCTCGTCCCCTTGTCCCTCGGGTCCTTGCCTCTCTTGTTACAGACCCGTCTGTTCCTGTCGCACGCCTTGATGCGCTTATCGCTGCTGTCGCTGACTTCGCCTCTACACGCCGCCTTGACTACGCTACCGCTCTGGTCTCTGACTCTGCCCGTCCTCCGTTCGTCAGGGGTGCACCTGCCCTTGGCAGTGACGTTCTAAAGGACAGGCAGTACGAGCTGGCTTTCCTTTCCGAGGCCGCTCCCCATCTCTGCTCCATGCTCCTAGTCCCAGAGGGTGACCCAGACGCCTTCGACATCCCGACCCCTCGCACCTACGTTGAGGCCACCTCGGGACCTTGGGCCTCTCAGTGGATAGCTGCCATGGAGCAGGAGATGGCATCTTGGAGGTCCACCGGCACTTACGTCGATGCAGTTCCCCCTCTTGGGGTGAACGTAGTCGATGGTCGGTGGCTGTTCAAGGTGAAGCGCCCCCCTGGTGAGCCGCCTGTCTTCAAGGCGCGCTACGTGGCTAGAGGCTTCAGCCAGTGCGAGGGGGTGGACTTCTTCCAGACCTTCGCCCCGACCCCGAAGATGACCACTCTTCGGGCGTTGCTACACGTAGCAGCAGAGTGTGATTATGAGCTTCACTCCCTCGACTTCTCCACAGCGTTTCTTCAGGGCAGTCTACACGAGCAGGTCTACTTGCGCCAACCACACGGCTTCACTGGTACCTTCCCCCCTGGGACTCAGTGGCTTCTCAGGCGCCCAATCTACAGCCTGCGCCAGGCTCCCCGCAAGTGGTACGACACGTTGCGTGCCACGCTAGCAGACCTGCAGTTCTTTCCGTCCTCTGCTGACCCCTCACTTTTTGTGCATTCCGGCCAGACTCCGTTCTACATCCTTGTCTACGTAGACGACCTAGTCTTTGCTACTGCTGACAGGGACGCACTGGCCTCCCTGAAGGCAGCGCTGCTGAAGAGACACATCTGCACAGACCTTGGAGAGCTGCGTCGCTCTCTTGGCCTGCAGATCTCCAAGGAAAGAGCAGCGCGCACCATCACTCTGACACAGTCACACTTGGTGCGCCAGATCCTTCAGAGGTTCGGTCTTCAGTTCTCCTCCGCACAGCCCACACCTCTACTTGTAGACCATGGGCTCTCCGCTCCCGTTCCTGAGGATCCAGTAGAGTCCAGCGGCCCCTACGTAGAGCTGGTGGGTTGCCTCATGTACCTGATGACTTGCACTCGCCCAGATCTCGCATACCCTCTCAGCATTCTGGCTCGTTTTGTGGCCACAAGCAGACACCGACCACAGCACTGTTCGGCCCCTAAGAGGGTTTTGCGATATCTAGCAAGTACATCGGGCATGGGGTTAGTGCTTGGAGGACGCAGGCCAGTGGTCCTCACTGGGCACACAGACGCTTCTTGGGCAGACGACTCTGAGACTCTCAGGTCGTCTCAGGGCTACTGTTTTAGCCTTGGGTCAGGTGCTATCTCTTGGAGATCCACTCGCTCGTCGTCTGTTTCTCAGTCCAGCTGTGAGGCTGAGATCTACGCTGGTGCCATGGCGGCACAGGAGCTCCGCTGGCTGACCTTCTTGCTCACAGACTTAGGTGAGCGACCTAGCTCTGTCCCGGTCCTGTACGCTGACAACAGGGCCATGATACTCCTGTGTTAGGAGCCTCGACTTGAGGGCAGAGCGAAGCATATCCAGCCATGGTACTTCCTCCTGCGCGAGCTACAGCAGCGTCGCCAGGCCCGCGTAGTTCACTTGGCCTCCGGTGCCAACACAACTGATATCTTTACTAAGGCGCTTGCGCCTAAAGATCATCAGCGGCACTGTGTACAGCTTGGTCTTGTTCCTGTAGCTTCTCACTTGTTTGGACCCTGATTGTGTACTCTCTACTATATATGCTTGTCTGACTGGCCTTGTGGCCTTACCTCCAGTGGCTGGACTAGTAGTGCCGCCCTGGCTTGCTTTAGCCTTGTTTGTACTCTTGCTGACTGGTCTCCGGACCCCTGCCTTAGTGGTTGGACTAGTAGTGCCACCCTGAGCTGTGTGCTTCTTGCTTAGCACCACCCCTTCTCTAGCCTAGGGGGTGTGTCAACTTATACATATGTTGTATGTAGAAGTTATAGGCTAGCCTAGGTGTGTGCTTCTAGTGAGTACAACCCCAACAGGTATATGTTCTAGGTTTCTCACACTAGTCATTATTCTTGCATTCTAACACAGAATCCTCTACTAGCTATGAAGTTTTCTCTTCAAATTTGGGACATAAAGTATTTATCTCTCGATGTTTTGAGACATCGCATTTCTGGGACACGTGTCGAAAGATTTCGCCATGCGGCATCAAATTGAACAAAAAGTTTGACGCTGCTGATTTCGCCATTCCGCTGTACGGCCCGCGGGGGGCGGGGGGGGCGCTGCCAGCAGGGCTGGACGAGTGCAACGGGCACGTGGGCGACGGCAGCGCGGGCGAGCCGGCGTTCTACCACTACCACACCACCAGCACGGCGCCGTACACCGTGGCGTGCCTCAAGGGCTGCGTCTCCGCCTCGGACTGGAGCAACGTGGGATCCGCCTCCTGCACCAAGGCCAGCCGTGAGTGGGGTGGGGAGGGCAGTATGTGGAAGGGGCGGTGGCAGTATGGGTGCAGCTCCTCGGTTCTCCTATCCCCTCCTATTTTCGCATATCTTTCCGCTTCGATCTTCTCCTCCCCCTCCCTTCTCCCCTCTCCACTTCCCTCTCCCCCACCCATCTCCTCTGCTCTCCTTTCTCCTTCCCTAATATCCTCTCATATCCTCTCCTGTATTCTCCTCCACCCTCTCCTGTCACGCCCTGTCTCCCACACCAGAGCAATACGACTACTCATCCCTCGCAGCCGTGCAGGCAGCATAGCCTCTCTCGTGTTGTGCCAGCAGTGAAGCATGCACCACCCACGATCACTGGCTGCTGGGGCTGTTGCTGCTGGCTAAATGGTTGTCTGCTGCGGTTAAATGGTTGTTTGCTGCTGGCTTAGGGCGTATTCCTATGAACCGGGATCAAAATCAGACTCGTGCCCTACTGTGCCATGCAAGTGTCGGAATCGCGTTTCATTGCAGTCCTGCGCGAGTCTGATTCTGATCTTGGTGCACTCGATGACTTGGCTGCATGTTTGCTGCCGAATCACTGTCCGACGATTGCCTTCCAGCGGTTACCAGCCATGTGGAGTGTTTCCAATTGCACAGCCAGTCTTTGCCACCATGTATTAAAGGATGGATGGATTGAAAAAAAGCAGCTGTCAATGACATTCTGGATAAGCATACTGCACGACATGGCAAGTTGGCAACACAGAGAACTTGCATGCAGGCCGCTAGATATCAGCCTTTTTACGCTGATTCAGCCTTTTTTCAGCCTTCTGTTTTGTACATACGCTGAACTGTAAGACTTTGATAACAACGTGAGAAACAATGATTAGAATGAGAGATACAAGGTGCTTTTGTGCTAAGGGGTTGTACTCTCTAGAGTACGCACCTATCTAGCCTATAAGATACATATATATGTTTTTACACAGCCCTTAGGCTAGATGAGGGGCAATGCCTGGCAAGAGACACACAGCTCAAGGTGGCACTACTAGCCCAACCTCTGAGGCAAGGGTTCGAAGACCAGTCAGCAAGAGTACAAACTAAACAAGAGAAACACAGGGCGGTACTACTTGTTCGACGCCACCACAGCAGATCAACGACGACGCCACGGCGTCGCGTCGATGCCATGGCAGCACGTCGACACTGCCACAGCAGCACGACGACGCCGCCAGGGCGTGGCGTCGTCGCCACGGCAGCACGACATGGCTGCCACAGCGGCGCGGAAGTGACAGGAGGGAGGAGAGTACGAGGCGGAAGCGTGGGGAGAAGGTCCGAGCGAAAGGGCCTGCTCTGATACCATGTTCGAAGGGCTTTAGGTAGGAGTAGCTAGGAAGCCATGAAAGGTCAAGAGGTTTAGCTTGGGGGCAGAAGTTACGAGAGGAAAGATGGTGACTAGGAAAGAGGAGATACAAGAAGGGGGGGGGGTTGTCCCCTCTACAGTAGGATCCACCAAAGTAGCACACCTACCAAACATACACAATATATATATATATATATATAATTTAACAATTTGACACTACTAGCCCGCCACTGGGACAAGAGCCACAAGGCCAGTCAAGAAAATATAGAAGTAGTACACAATCAAGGTCCCAACAAGTGTGAAGCTACAGGAACTAGACCAAGCTGTACACAATGCCGCTGATGATCTTTAGGCGCAAGCGCCTTAGTAAATATATCAGGTGTGTTAGCACCTGAGGCCAAGTGTACTACGCGGGCCTGGCGGCGCTGCTGTAGCTCGCGCAGGAGAAAGTACCGCAACTGGACGTGCTTCATTCTACCTTCCAGACGAGGCTCTTAACACAGGAGAATCATGGCCCTGTTGTCAGCGTACAGGACCGGGACAGAGCTAGGTCGCTCACCTAAGTCTGTGAGCAAGAAAGTCAGCCAGCAGAGCTCCTGTGCCGCCATGGCACCGGCGTAGATCTCAGCCTCACAACTAGACTGGGCAACAGACGACAAACGAGTGGACCGCTACGAGACGGCACCTGAACCAATGCTAAAGCATTAGCCCTGGGAGGACCTCAGGGTCTCAGCGTCGTCTGCCCACGAAGCGTCTGCGTTCCCTGTAAGGACCACTGGCCTGTGTCCTCCTATCACTAGACCGAAGCCCAATGTACTTGCTAGATAACGCAAAACCCTCTTAGCGGCCGACCAATGATGTGGTCGGTGTCTGCCTGTGGCCAGAAAGCAAGCCAGGATGCTGAAAGGGTATGCGAGATCTGGACGAGTGCAAGTCATCAGGTACATGAGGCAACCCATCAGCTCTGAGTAAGGACCACTAGGCTCTACAGACTCTTCAGGGACTGAAGCAGAGAGCCTGTGATCTACTAGCAGAGGTGTGGGCTGTACGAAGGAGAACTGAAGACCGAACCTCTGAAGGACCTGGCGCACCAAGTGTGACTGTGTGAGAGTGATGGTGCGCGCTGCTCTGTCCCTAGAGATCTGCAGGCCAAGGTAGCGGCGCAACTGTCATAGGTCAGTGCAGGTGTGTCTCCTCAGCAACTCAGCCTTCACGGAGGCCAGTGCGTCTCTGCCTGCAATAGCAAATACCAGGTTTTCTACATAGACAAGGATGTAGAACGCGGTCTGGCCAGCACGAACGAAGAGCGAGGGGCCTGCAGAAGACGGGAAGAACTGCAGGTCAGCTAGCGTAGCACAAAGCGTGTCGTGCCACTCGTGCGGCGCTTGCCGCAGGCCATAAACCGGGTGCCAAAGGAGCCAACGGGTCCCCGGTGCGAAGGTGACGGTGAAGCCTGGTGGGCGACGTAGGTAGACGTGCTCGTGCAGACTGCCCTGGTGTGAGAGTACGATCCATTCTCTTCCCCTTTCCATATTCCCTTTCCATTACATTCCTCTTTTTATCCTGATCCATTTGGGTTTTATCTCATTCTATTTGGATTCCTATTTCTCCTTTTCCATAAACCTTTGGTTTATCCTGTTATTATCATTATATCACCGACCAGGCTCGGGATGTACTGGGGCGCTATATCTAGCGTAATCCTGCCATAATCCCTTAAAGCCAATAGCCTTGCGTGGCTATACGCAGAGTGATTCTATTTTCTAGAAGCGTCTATTCCCTTGGGATAAGATAAACCTGGTTACCTGATGTACTTTGGAAGTATAAAAGCGCCTTGTACTGATCGATAGTGCAACCTTTCCTTGACACATTCGATCCTGTAACACTTGGTAATCAGAGCCTTTCTCACTCGGCCGCGCTCAGCTAAGCAGCAGCAGCAAGAAAACCTGCCTGGAAAAACCGCCGGGGGCGACCAATTCGACGCCGATTCTGGTAAGCACCAGCTCCGCGCTTTTTCGAATTACCCCCCCCCCACCCCCACCCCCCCCGCGCGTGTTTTGAACAGGATGGCAAACTTCGACAACGCCAAAGTTACCCAGCAGCTATTCGCGAGCATCGCAGCCCTTCAAGAGGAGATGCGAGCGGATCGCGAAGCGTGGCGAAACGAGTTCGAGCGAGTAACTCGACTCGCCGGACCGCAACACAAAATGACAACAACGACGACGCAGTAGTCGTAGCAGTTTCTCAAGGCTCCGAAACCGCGCCCACCTGAGCCGTTCGATCCGAGCGATCGAAACTCCGACGTTCTCAGATGGATCGCCGTCATGGAGATCTACTTCGCAGCCGTCGGATGGAGCTCGCCAGTCTAGGACGGTCAACGCGTACGACTCGCAGCAACACTGATGTGAGGACCGGCACTCGAGTGGATCGGCGGTAACAGCACGTTCATCCACGGCGAAGCCACGTGGCAGCAGTTCTGCACTGACCTGCTGAAACGTTTCGAGCCGATAAATTCGGGTTTCGTTGCCCGGGAAAAAATTCATCGCCATCGACAGTTCGGGAGTGTAGCACAGTACACGCAGCAGATGGAAGAATTTTATAACCGCATTCCCGACCTGACCGAAGGGGAAAAAGTACAGTCGTACCTCGCCGGGCTGAAGACCGAAGTCAAACAACAAGTGGCAGCGACAAACTATGCGAGCTACAGTGACGTCGTATCGGCCGCTGAACGCTTCGACATGGTCAACGCCGGGACACGATGGACGCACATCGGCAGTACGCGACCAGGCGACCGCTCAGCTCACCCAACGTTCGCCGACCCGATGGAAGTCGACAGGTTCGAAGGGCCGCCACGTCCGAAAAACACCAAATTCACGTAAGATTTTTGCGGGGTGCCGGGTCATCGAATCTTCGACTGCAACAAAATAAAAGCCACACGCGTTGAGTATCGGGCACGCAACAGTGGCGGAAATCCTTCGGCCAATCAGAAGCCAAAAAACGGGACTCGGCAGTAATTGCGGATCTAGCTGGCGAAAAAGAAAAGATCCGAAAGCGGCCGCGGACTTCCGGAAAAATCAACTTCGACGCAGCTGATTCGACGCGAACAGGAGAAAATGATGGGGAAAAATCTCCACCCCACGACCAGTCTTTGGCAGAGGAAATCGCCGAGGAAAAATCTCACTCCGCAAAAAAGGACTCTGCCAAGACGGGGAAACACCTTGAAGACCCAAGAAATTATAATGATTTGTGAAGGTTATCTTATAAAGATGCTTTAATGAAAACTTGTAATTCTCGAGGGGCTAGAGCCTTGGAGAAATTACGGGAGGGACTCCAGAAGAAGCATAAAATTGTGGAGATCATACCGGTACCGGAGAACTTGGGGACCAAATTAAGGAGTGTGGAAAGAAGCCGACCTTTCCACGGAGTCAACGTCCTCTCCCGACACCAGCCCACAGCGACTACCCGTTCCCCAGGGAAGACGTCGGTGGAGCTGAAGCAGCTCAAAAGGAAGCTGGGGGTCTACAAGAAGCTGCAAAAACCCCAAACTCCTTCTTTGGATGCATCCAATTCGGCAACTTCGTCAACGACACGAACAGTCGTCACGGAAACTCCGGGCCCTGGAGAAGAGCCGTTCTCCAAGCAGCCTCGGCCAGCTGTCAGCTCAGGAGTAGGAAGCAACGAATATTGGGATGTACCCTATGACCCAATCAATGAAACTATCTTTGGGTACTCCGAGCAACGCCTGCCCCTCGTGCTCGAGGTCATCTGCAAAGGACGACGCCTCCAAGCACTCGTGGACAACGGAGCATTGCACACCATATGCGACAAGGCAACTATCGACCGACTTAGAGAAGAGTACAAGCCATCAGCGTTTTCTGCAACGATGGTGGACGGCAGCAAGTTACTAGTATACGGCGAAGCAGTGCTACAGCTACAAATCGGGCCACTGCGCTGGAAACCTGCACTCCCCATCACCAACATCAAAGGGCTTGACCTGATCTTCGGGCGAGACTTCCTAAAACGATTCAACCCCGATATCAACTGGATAAACCGCACCGCAAGCATCTACAACAAAGGAAGGAGAGTCCAGCTACCCAACTGGGACGATACAGGAGTTATCCCAGAGGAGAAACTCGCCATATTCGAGAAGGACGTCAAGCGAACCAACACCGGGTTCCTGGCAATAGCAACAGAGGTGGAAAGTGATGGAGAGAAGACCTCGGAACGTCCAGGAAAAATCAAGTAATTGCTGAAGAAGTTCCAAGACATTCTCCCTGACGACCTCCCGGACGAGCTA